TACTTTTGAAAGCTGAGTGCATCTTGTGTTTGTAGAACTTTTTATTAAACAAGTAATTTTTAAGCAAAAAGAAAAACCAAATTCAATTCTCATATACAAATTTAGGAGTACCGTTAATTTTTTCATGATCCAATGATCGGATCTAAACCAAATTACGGGACGACCCTTAAGGTACCATCTTTCCGGTAAAAAAAAAGAATTATTGGAATCGGTTCGTCGGTCCAAAGTTATGCGGTGGAATACATAAAAGAAGAAAAAATACTCCGAATAATTGATAACCTCCCCTTTTTTGAAGCTGGATGAAAATGTTTGATTTCGTTGTAAATTTTATGTAAATAAAATGTAATTTATGAAACTTTAAAAAGTGATTTATTTATTTCATACTGTACATAAAACTTGCATAAATGTATTTTAAAGAGCGAATTTTCAGTATTTTCTGATGACATATATTTAGAAGTATAAACCCTTTCCCCCAAAAATATATTCCTGGGTGCACCCCTGGCACTTAGTATTTATTATTTGTAAAAAATATGTTTTTACTTTCAAAATGTTTGTAATTTTAAACATTTCATGTGTATATTTATGTGTATATTTTAAACAACTCATGTTCAAAATCAAATCTTGAACATCTTGTGCGTATAGTTGAACAGATTCTGGTTGAAAAATAAACACTTTTCAGTAGTAGTTTTACACGCACTTTTTAGAGTGTACAGCAGTACCCAACCGTTCTCAATTGATGAATTACTATACATTTTTCACACCATTTTTATATATATAGATACTTCCAGATAGTTGCCTCTCCATACTCAAATGCAATGTAGTTAAAATATATTAAGGAACCATCATAACATTAGGGCTATTTCTGGATTTTTAACTTTTTGATATTTTCTTCCCCAACTTTGACTATCTCGGGTGAAAAAAAATGTACAGAGCTATAACTTTACATTACATAAAAAAATTGCTCATTTAATAAAGATTTCAGAAAGGCGCCACACTTACTGTTTTGAATAGAAAAAAACAAGTTATAGCCGCTTTTGTGGGTAAAGGACTGAGACACGCTAGAATGTATTTAATAGATTTAAATTGAATTTGCTCTTGTTACCGTCAAATGACATGCTAAATAGTACAAACGTACATAATTACTTGCTTCTGACATTATTTTATGTTACTTACCGGAATTCGGACTAGAGTCTATAACAAGGGCTATATCTATCAATATTTTGTGTGAAGGATGGGTTCACGTGAAATAAGATATACATGAGTTGTTTGAAGAAAAATGTATTCATTTATTGATAAAATATGCTCAAATTGGTGATCTTCTACTCTAATACAAGCTCGGCACCTTTTAAGAAAAGACGCTTTTAGAGATTTTAAACTCAATTGGACTATCTCAGCAGCAGCTCCATTTATTTGTTCCCGCAAATGCTCTTCGTTTTGAATTGTTTTTGAATAAATTTTGTCCTTAAGACAGCCCCAGTAGAAAAAATCGAATGGATTCAGGTCTGGCGATCAAGCGGGCCACGTGATTGGCCCGTATCGTCCAATCCATCGGCGAGGATAAGTTTCGTCTAAATGAGCCCTTACTTCACGCCCGTAGTGAGCAGGGCACCCGTCATTTTGCAGCCATAGTCTTCGCCGCAGGTTTAAGGGTACATCTTCCAAAAGAGTTGGAAGCCGTTCCTGAAGGAACTCTAAATAACTGTGAGAGTTGAGCGTTGGCGGCAGTTCCACAGGTCCCAATATCTGACAATTAAAAATACCGCACCATAAATTTATTTTGTACCGGTACTGCGAACGATCTTCTCTCATTTAGTGAGGATTGTCTATCTGCCAACTGTGAAGGTTATGTAACTTAAAATAACCATCACGTTTGCATGATGATTCATCGCTCCAAATTATTTTATTAAAAAAGTTGGGGTCTGATGCATGCATTCGCAACATTTCACGGCAAAATCTAACCCTCGACAGGTAATCTCTTTCCTGTAGAGCCTGAACACCTTGAGTGTGGTAGGGATGAAATCGATGGTCTTTTAAAGCTTTATGAACTGTAGTTTTTGGTATTCCCGTCCGTCTTTCCATCATTCACACTGAAGTCGATGGACCTAGTTCCACTTCCTCTAACACAGCTTCAACATCTACCGTTGCAGGACGTCCTGTTTCGCCGCCACGCCTTCCAGGTATGCGACCTTAAAAAAGTAAAAAATTATAGTCAACAAGCAAGCAAACAAGAAAGGTGTAAAAATCACTTACCTTCATATATTTCTCTATGGGTCCGGGCGAATACTTCACGACCCGGATGTCGACGAGTCTTTGAGCAGCTCTGGCATTACAGCAAGCTTCACCGTAAATTAGGTGAATATCCGCATATTCATGCGACGTATACTGCGTGTTCTCTGCCATAGTATTAATAACACAATGTTCGAAGGGTCCAATTTCACAAAATCCACTTTCACTAATTCCGGTAAGTAACACAAAATAATGTCAGGAGCAGGTAATAATGTACCTTTGTACTATTTAGCATGTCATTTGACGGTAACAAGAGCAAATTCAATTTAAATCTATTAAATACATTCTAGCGTGTCTTAGTCCTTTACCCACAAAAGCGGCTATAGCTTTTTTTTCTATTCAAAACAGTAAGTGTGGCACCTTTCTGAAATCTATATATTATTCTGAAACAAGGCGCTTATTCCCAGCGATCTACAAATCGTACAGAGACATATTATATATCAAATTAAAGTGCCCGATCTGAAACTTTGCACAAACTTTTCAGATTTAAGATTCATTGAACCATTTTCGAAATATTTACGTCGAAAGATTTTAAAATTTTTACATTGAGCAAAGCATTGCTACGTTCATTTCGAGAGGCAGCGCCTCAGCGGGACATATGAGGAAGGAAAATTGTTCCATTTATTCGCTTTCGTCTCTGCTTTTGTTTCATATCGATCAAAGCATTGCTACGTTCGTGTGCCTGTAGGCAGCGATGCAGCGGAAGATCTGCAAAGATAATGTTCCCTTCGTCTCTGTACATACACAAAATTGTTGCATATACATACATTCATTCATACACATTTGTTAAGGCACAAGTGCCAAACTATCAACAACAATATTGCTTCGTTCGTGTTCATATACGCAGCGCTACAGCGGGACATAGAATGAAAAATTTTTCCATTTATTCGATTTCGTCTCTGTTTTTGTTTCATGTCGAGCAAAGCATTGCTACGTTCATATGCATGTAGGCAGCGATACAGCCGAAGATCTGAAAAAAAGATGATGCTTTTGGCTTTGTACATACACCCATATGTGCATTTTTCATGGTTTCTTTTAAAGTTTTTTTTCTAACGAGAAATATGGATCTATATTACAAACATATACATGTCTTTCTCCCTTTTCTATAAGTTTTGATTGAAAGGTAGTAAAGAAATTCCAACGATAGGAATGACAGTGGCTCTAAAACTGCAAATGGGCACAAACATACATAAGTACTTTACGTTACAGTTATTTGCGAGCTCTGGTATGTATGTATGTACATATGTGTCAAGGCAAAAATGCGAAAACTATCGGCAACAATATTTGTTTTGTTCTGTTCGTGCTATTTGCAACAAGCAATTTTAGAAAGTTTGATATTCTAAACCATAAAAGATACAATAAACGTTTATAAAATGTCAGGTGAAAGGTGTATAAGGCGAAAGCGAAGTTTAACAAGTCGAAGAGAAGAGGTGACTTTTATTTAAAAAAATTGAACTTTAGGGCTAATGTATTTGTGTACATACATATATGTTTGTATGTATGTATGTATATTCACGTTCTCATGCAGAGCCGCAGACACGTATCTTCTATGGCAAGTTCTTTCAAAGCAGCCTTAAACCCTGTAGTTCTTCCGGAATATAGTTCACTTGGGGGCTTAACAAGTACATGCTTGCAGTGCAAAGCAAAACATTTCAGCAGTGAAAAGGAAAGTCTATACCTTTTATTGTTTCATAACTTATAGTCTTAACACGTATTTGAAATTGCTACATTTAGGTAAGAAATGGCTTTGCGACATGTTGTCACGCTGGAAAAGTCAAATTTCCAGCATTACGTGTACCTGAGTTTTTAAAATCTGTGTTTGAAAACGATTTGAGCTCTTGGCGCCGACATTACTTGGAGCACATACGGCAACTAAACAGTTCGTTTGCTTTTGCATCATTCGAAGCGAAAATTGCAGGGCCAACAGGACGTGGACCATATTGCTTCCTAATACATGGATCCATATATCATAGGGTGGGTCCATTGCATGCAGATAATCCCGCCGAATCATCCTACGCTCAGCTGTATATTCTTGACACGGATCAAGCAATTGATATTAGGGCGCAACACAACTCAAGTTGCGACAAGTCTTTACTGAAAGAAATTCATGAAATGCTTTCGAACATTAACCCCTTGGCCCGTGAGTATAAGCATATGGCGCAGGTAGAACGTGAAGAAGAGCAGAGAGAAAGAGAAGAAAATCCAGGACCGCATCAGGTTAGCATGCTACTTTTTAACAGCGTTAGTGACCTGCAAGTCGAAATTTGCGAATATTTCCGCGTAACTCTGACATGCGGAACTTATCATTTGTGTCAACGCTACACAGATTATGTGATCCTTTAGTTTATCCCCTTTTGTTTCCATATGGCGAGCCTGGATATGATGAAACTCTCCTGCATGAACAAGATCAACGAACGGAGCATAGATTTAAATTAACACAACTGCAGTTTGTTTCTTATCGCATGGCGATTAGAGAAGGTTTTAGTTTGCTTCGTGTCTCAGGTAAACTTTGGCAACAGTATTTGGTTGACCAATACGTCAGAATTGAAGGAGCACGTCTGGCCTTTCTGTGCACCCATCAGAAAGAACTACGTGTTGAAACATATGCTGGTTTGCATGATTATTTAATACGTAGATCCAATATTGAAAATGTGCGTCCTGGCCGTATAGTTGTTCTGCCTTCAAGTTTTGTTGGCTCCCCTCGCAACATGAACATGAATTACCAAGATGTCATGGCTATTGTGAGAAAACATGGAAAACCGTCTCTTTTCATAACGTTCACATGTAATCCCAAATGGCCAGAAGTCGTTCAAAATATAGAAATATACCAAGGATCGGAAATGCGTCCAGAGCTGATAGCCTGTGTTTTTAAACAGAAACTCAAAGAGCTTATGAAAGATATTTCACAAAAGCATGTGTTTGGGAAAGTAAAATACTACCTATATATCATTGAATTTCAGAAGAGGGGTTTACCTCATGCCCACATATTGGTAGCCCTTCATGAGGAGGATGTTATTCGTGAGCCTTCTGAAATTGACCTGGTTGTTTGCGCTGAGATTCATAATAAGGAGACAGAGCTTGAGTTGTATGAAATTGTGTCGAAATGTATGATTCATGGCCCGTGCGGCATACTTAATCCATCATCGCCCTGCATGACTGCTGATACTGGAATTTGCTCAAAAAAGTATCCCAAATCTTTTCAAATTAATACGCTTTCAAATATAAACGGCTATCCCCAATATCGTCGCCGCAATGATGGAAATAAAATAGTTGTTCGTGTCAGTCAAAATTCAGTTGAATTAGACAACCGATGGGTAGTCCCCTACAACAAATATCTGACCAAAAAATACAATGCTCATATTAATGTAGAAATATGTTCATCTATAAAGAGCGTAAAATATCTTCACAAATATATTTACAAAGGCTATGATTGCGCAACCGTTCAAATTATCGAACAACAAATTGATCGTGCGGTTTTTTATGATGAAATATCTACATTTGTAGATGATCGATATGTTAGCGCTCCTGAAGCCTGCTGGAGGCTTTTAGAGTTTCCCATGCAAGAAAAATCCCACACGGTGAAAACACTTGCAGTTCACTTGCCAGAGGCACAAAATATTTATTTTCGTGAAAATAACGCTTTCTCGATGTCGCGATACCACCTTAACCGCATATTTCAAATTAAATACTGTGGATTCTTTTGCTAATACTTTGTTGTATTATGAAATTCCTGAATACTATACTTGGCAAGAAGCGTCTCGCTCATGGCAAAGGAGGAAATGCCAGGGCAATGCAATTGGCAGGATGTATACGGTCGATCCAAAAAATCGTCAACTTTTTGCTTTACGTTTATTGTTAACTTCGCTAAAAGGACCAAAGTCCTTTACAGATTTATTGACTGTGAACGGGGAACACCTGTCCTCTTATTAGGAATCAGCAGTAAGGAGAAAGTTGTTGGCGGACGATACGGAATGGATAGCTGTACTTGAAGAAGCCTCTGCCTTTAAAATACCTGAGCAACTTAGACGTATATTTGCAATGATTTGCGTATTTGGGGAACCAACTTCACCAATTGAGCTCTGGAGAAAATTTAAACTCCATCTTTGTGAAGACTTTCTAAGGGATAATTCGGAAGACAACAGCGAGGTTTTGGCATTGAGAAATATAAGCCATGTCTTACAATCGTATAACACATCTTTGAAAGACTTCGGTTTACCTGCAGATGATCTTGCCACTGAAAACTTAGAGATAGAGAACTTTAACATACACGATGAAGTACTATGCGGCCAAGTACTCAAGGAACAGCTTAATCCCGAGCAAAAGTATATTTTCGACCAAATAATCCTTGCAATTTCCACTAGCAATGAAGTCATAAAGGCTTTCTTTATTGATGGTCCTGGCGGCTCCGGCCAGTATAATCCACCATATTCGTAGCCTTGGGCAGAAGGTAATATCCGTAGCTTGGACAGGGATTGCTTCAATTTTACTTCCTGGTGGAAGAACGGCACATAACGTGTTCAAATTCCCAATACCCTAGACTGAATCTTCTGTTTCCCTTATTAAACCTGACAGCAATCTCGGAAAAGCAATCAAATCTTCCATGGCAATAATATGGGACGAAGCTAGCATGGTTCCTGGGACTGCTTTACTATGCTTAGATCGGTTATTGCGTGATATTCACCAAAATGAAACACCTTTCGGAGGAAAATTTGTTTTGTTAGGTGGTGACTTCAGGCAAGTTCTTCCTGTTGTGCCCAATAGCGCATGCGCCGCTATAATTGGAAATTGTTTGAAACGGTGTTCACTTTGGAAATGTTTTAAGTGTTTTAAACTCTCGACAAAGATGCGTTCTAAAGAGTCCGATTATTGCAATTTTCTTTTGCGTGTTGGAGAAGGTCGAGAACTCTCGCCAGACTCGAAAATAAAGTTACCAGAAGAGATTATTTTGCTAGATGGAAATTTAATCGATTGGGTATTTGAACCTCAATCAGGTGTAATTAATGAAAATCATTTGAAAGATCGGGCAATTTTGTGTCCAAAAAATGAGCACTGTACGATAATTAATACCGAAATGATTAATATGTTGCCCGGAGAAGAAAAGGTTTATTATAGCGTCGATACTATCGTTTCTGAAGATCCACTGGAGCAAGTCAGATTCCCTACAGAATTTTTAAATTCACTTAATTTCAGCGGGGTTGCACCTCATGAATTAAGGCTAAAAGTTGTAATGTTAATCCGTAATCTTTATACATATGAAGGGTTAGTTAATGGCACTCGCGTAATAGTTAAAGCACTACACTATAATTGTTTGGACGTCGAAATTTTAACAGGTGCGTCACAAGGGAAACGAATTTTACTTCCCCGTATAAATTTACAGCCCAGCGAATCACCACTTCCTTTTGTTTTAAAACGTCGCCAATTCCCAATTTTTGTTTCGTTCGCAATAACAATAAATAAGTCTCAAGGTCAGACTCTAGCAAAAGTTGGTGCTTTCCTGAAAGAGGATTGCTTTACGCATGGCCAGCTGTACGTGGCATCGAGTAGAGTACGATCTTGCAAAGATATCAAAGTTAAAATTAATGACCAAAAGAAATGTACTGCAAATATAGTTTTCCAAGAAGTATTACATGAATAAATTATTGTTTTTAGAAAAAACAAAAAATGTTCGATTTTCGGGGGTTATTACTAGTCTTTATTAAATGAGCAATTTTTTTATGTAATGTAAAGTTATAGCTCAGTACATTTTTTTTCACCTGAGATAGTCAAAATTGGGGAAGAAAATATCAAAAAGTTAAAAATCCAGAAATAGTCCTAATTTTATGATGGTTCCTTAATATATTTTAACTACATTGCATTTGAGTATGGAGAGGCAACTATCTGGAAGTATCTATATATATAAAAATGGTGTGAAAAATGTATAGTAATTCATCAATTGAGAACGGTTGGGCCGATTTGGCAAATTTTTTTTTTAGTTGTTCGTAATTGCCAGGAGAAGGTTTTTAAGAAAGAAAATTTTGGAAAAACCCTCCGGTGGACCGGGGACCGATCTATTCAAAAATCGTAGTGATGGTCCGATTTGCTTAAAATTTGGTACGTAGTTAGCTTTTTGCCTAGATTAGCACATGTGACGCTTTTTTCCGTGAAGTGGGCCAGGGACCGATCTATTCGAAAAAATCTTATTAATGGGCCGATTTACTTAAAATTTGGTACGTGGTTAGCTTTTTGCCTAGGTTAGCACAGAGGATGCTTTTTTTCGGGAAGTGGACCAGGGACCGATCTATTCGAAAAAACGTATTTATCGTCCGATTTGCTTAAAACTTGGTGTGTAGGTAGGTTTTTGCCCAGATTAGCATATAGGATATTTTTTTCCCCGGGAAGTGGACCAGGGACCGATCTTTTCGAAAAAATCGTAGTTATGGTCCGATTTGCTTAAAATTTGGTACGTGGTTAGCACATAGGATGCTTTTTTTCCGGGAAGTGGACGAAGGACCGATATATTCGAAAAAATCATATTTATCGTCGGATTTGCTTAAAACTTGGTGCGTAGGTGGGTTTTTGTGCAGATTAGCATATAGGATATTTTTTTCCGGGAAGTGGACCAGGGACCGATCTATACGAAAAATCGTAGTTATGGTCCGATTTGCTTAAAATTTGGAACGTAGGTAGCTTTTTGACTATGTTAGCATATTGGATCATTTTTTTCGGGAAGTGGACCAGGGACTGATCTATTCTAAAAAATCGTATTTATGGTCCGATTTGCTTAAAATTTGGTACCTAGGTAGCCCCCTCCGGGAAAGTCGGAAAATTGGAAAAATTGAAAATTGATTTTTTTCTGCATGGAATTTTGTGTGCAATTCCTTCGGAATGGCATTCGAATGGAAAAAATAGAAAATTCTAGGTGGAAAACTCGAAAAAATCCGGAAGAACGCAAAAAATTTGAATTTTTTTTCGACGAAAGATTGGAAAATTTCGGATAATTCTGAAATTCATTGGGAGCTTGATTCAATTGTGAACAATTTTCCCCTATGTTTCATAACTGATTCGAATGGGTGCTGCTTTTTTGGAAACGTGTTTAGAAGAAGGAGTGCACAATAGTTGGCGCAGGAGTCGAGCTATGCTTAAAAAAATGCAATTGGTTCGTTGGTAGCCTTTTGCCTAGATTAGCATATAGGATTCATTTTTTTTGGGTCAGAGACCGAACTATTCGAAACAGTCTTATTAATGGTCCGATTTGCTTGCAATTTAGCACGTAGGTAGCTTATTGGCTGGGTTAACATATATGATATTTTTTCTGATAGGTGGACCAGAACCGATCAATTCCAAAAAAATCTTCAATCGAATCAAGTCATTGTTTTGCAGTTTGAAAGGT